TATATATATATATCTCGACAAGTATCGGCACTGGTATCTGAACATCCCTAGCTTTAGATATACTGTACTTTAATTTTTAGAGTTCGGTTATGTGTTAGGGAGCTAAGGATTAAGTGTTAGTCTAGGATCCACCACCCTGATCCCAGATTAATCATGTACTATATTACCGAGCTGTAATGCGCATCCAGCCAGTGATAGTGTGAACTACCATCCTGCAAACTTGTGGAAAGCCAGTGACTCAACGACAGCCCTGGAGCTTGCCCCATTAAGAACATGTCAGCAATGGAAAGAGTCTATCCTCATAGGTTCCCTTTAAGTGCTATAGTTAGGGGGAGGGAGAGGTTAAGTGTTTTTGGGTGACAAATGCTAGAGATAGGTATGATGAAATGATAAAGATAGATGACAGTTGAGGGTGCCCTAGATGTTAACAGGAAAATGTAGGTTTGAAGTGAGTTCTGAAAACTCTGCACCCAAATGCCCAAGTTCTGTCCACCTAAAAATAATGTAGCAGTAAAACTGTGGATTAGCCATTATTAAAGAAGAAAAATGGAGTCTACCTATAGAAAGGGGAGAAGGTGTCCGTAACCAATACGATGCAACCTTTATCTTTTTCGAAACATATTCGAAATTCTAGAAATGTGATTTGGCTGCCATAGTCGACCTTTACTTCCCATATACAGAATAATACAATTATTATCAATCGAAAGATCATTCATTCAGGATAACGATATTTCGAAGACAGAGGACACTTCACAATTGATAATACATTTTTGCATCAAAGAATCAGAGATGTCCTGACAAATTCTCAAAATGGGACAAAAATAGCAATTCTGGACTGAGGCATCGTTCATCCATGCCCCATCATGTAAACATAACCAGACAAGTCAATCTTACCCTCAATACTCAGCTCAAAACAGATGTGGCAAAATGACAGGGTCTCGATGTCAGTACCCAGCTTGCAGATACTGCATACATTGTCGTCATTCAAGTCAATGTTCACAAACTGCTCCTCTTCAGCCATGGTGCCCCTGAGACAAAAGAAAAAAAAAAACAGTTTATTACCAGAAAACAGAAGGGAAAGGATAAAGGTCTAGGCAAACACAGCTGCCTGGGCAGCCAGAGCACTAACAACTTTGTATACAACATAGAAAAGTTTCATGTGCATTGAACTGTCAAAACAAGTTTAGCCCACCTAGTAGATACATAAAGACAAATCAGACATAATTCTCAGGCTCTTTGGATTTCCCAGAGCTCTTTGTGTTCTTTTAACTAATAAACCAAGATACCCATACATGAGTCACTTGTATGCATCTGGTGAAGGGAAGCGATAAGTGGACATGGCTTGGCTCTAGTAGTTGTTGCTCAACCTCAAACTCAGGTGCGTTACAACCTTAAAGTGAATCTAGTGTGAAAGATGGTAAAGATTCCAAGCGAATGGAGGTGCGGCCTTTAGAAGCTTGCTGAATGCCGAGCTCCAGCACTTTCTTGTAGTACCAAAGCTGGTCCACCCCTACCTGCTTCCTGTTCGTTTCTATTGGCCAGTGAGGTAGCCCATCATTGTGGGGATGGCAAGAACCAACACTACCCAAAGTGTTGCAGGTTGCCTATTAGAACACCCAGGTATTCGGCCGTAACTGCAGAGTTTTGGTGACAGAGTTTCTTTAATAACAAAGAAAAATTAGTATCAGAGAGGCACACAGAAGAGCCTTTAAAATGGCACAGGGAACAACATGCACCTTGTGATGTTTGCTCTTAAGGCCACCATAAACGGCTCAATATTCTCTTGCTGAGCCCGAAGGCTGAACCATAAGTAAATCAATAATTTCCCCCATCCATATGAACAGCACTGATGGTGGAGTCTTCACTGTTGGATATTGTATGCAGTCGCTGCGCAGGTAATAATTTTTAACTTGGCTCAGTCGATGGTTGAATTTACCTTTTACCTTCAAAGTTTTAAATGGCTGTTCAAATTTGCGATAGCTGAATACCCATGACACATAGCCATCCATTCTTAAGTTGCCTATTTAAAGATAGGACAGGTGCTTGGTAAAAGCTAAGGGTGAAGATCCATGAAGTCTGAGGGTCCACTTCAAATGTTAGGTTAAATAAGTTGGTTTTCTTTATCTGAAATCCCAAATTCAGTAAACCACAGCAATCAGAAATTCTGGTTGGCTGTTGTGGTAAAATATTTATTGTACACTTTCTGTACATATCTTTACTGAATAAGCCTACATGAGTTGTATGTACTGTATATTGGAATTTAACGTTGAACTTTAGGCAAACAGATTAATACACAGTTGAAATACAAATTCATCTCCACTTTCTCGGTCTTTACAGATTACATTGCAGTTAAAGGTCTTTGCAGCCTGGTCCATGGCCCCCTAGTCTAAGGCCGGACAATGAAGGAGTTACAACACACGAAGGGAGTCATCCCTGTTCTCTTCCCTCCTGCAGGTTCAAGAACCCCAATTGGCACCCCTCCTGCTCCTAATCTGATGTGCAAGAGATTACAGCAGGCTGATCTAGACAAATTCAGGCACTTGAGCTGGCTCTACAGAAGGCTGATTTAGACCTTATATAAAAAGGCACCAGCATCACATTAAGTATTTAGAACAAGCATTGTGAAAGATAAAAATGCTTTGTTATTATGCTCCAAAATATTTTATTTATTTCTTTAAGAAACACTGCATATCCTTTTTCTGCACCGCCTCTTCTGAATAGGAACTTCTACAGTTTTTTTTTGTGCTGCAGGATCTTCTAAGTCCAGGTCATTTCCAACAATGCATTGTGCCAAATGTCATGTGCAGCTGGGCTCTAAACTGGTGGGTGGGACATCAGGCATAAGGGGGTGGAGCTGTGAGGGAGCAGTGAAAAAAAACAAAAACATTGTACTAGTTTCCGAGCACCGTGTTTCAGCCTGTGTGACTACAATGGGAGATTAGGAAGGCAGAATTAAATCTCAATACAATTTAGTAAACTTAACACGAGATTGTAGTCCATCACAGGAGTGATCTTGGGGCGGTGACTACTTTACAACACACAGGCACCATGGGGAACAAAAGTAGGAAGGAAGGAGAGTGTCAGCACCAATTCAGAGATGATTTGAGGATCTACAGCCGAGTGATACACAAATAAGATACATTTTTGTTAAAAGGAGAATTATGGGGTGAGTGAAAAACACTAAAGACAAAGCTGACACAGGTCAGCTCTATAGATCAGGTAGTCAATGAACACATACCGCCGCCGAGTTTCTGATTCTCTCCCTGCAGAGATCGGTGACTGCTTCCTGCAGGGAGTCACCACTCCCCGCAGGGATTCCTCCCTCCCTCCAGTCAGGGCTGGAGGAACGAACAGGGAGGGGGCGGGCACAGCTGGCTTTCCTCTAGAGAGGCAGAGCTAGCTGTCAATCAGCCAGCAGGATGGATCTCAACAGTATTGTCGGGATACATCCCGGCTGTGCACATAGCGGCCAATCTAAGATTTAACTCCTGAGTTTAGTGTCACTTAATGATTTTTATTTAACACATATCTGGATTAGTGTCTTCTTACAGCTGCCCAACGTTGAGCTTTATTGGTTTACTAGTCCCATAAAAACAAGTGTACAGAAGCTTCTGCGGGTAGAGGTCATGTCTGTCATGCTCTGGAAAAGCGTATTGCTGATATGATGATATATTTGATAACTGTGAAGGACCAAGCTGTCAGAACAGCAACTTAGAGGACCGGCACTCTAAATTCCACCCCATTTCCAGGTCACAATGACTTACTGGACTTTTTTTTCATCAATGAGCATGGATGTACTGAAGTGAGAAATGTTCTTGTCAAAAAAGGGCCTGCGATCAAAGCGACGGTATATAATTTGCAAGCCAGCCTAGAGTTCAAACAGCTTGTTGTAGAAATAATCAAGCGGAAAATGCTAGCAGTACTGAACAGCCTCTAACACTTCCACAGCAATGAACCGTGTCCCAAAGGCCGGGGGTCAATGGCTTTTATGGTGGCTGAACACAGAGAAATCCAGTGTTTTATGGGGCCGTGAGTGCCAGCACAGAACATCATGCACAGGGGTGTCCTAGAGCTTGCATAACTAACAGTTTTGTTTTGGATGTTCGGCGTATGTTTCCTATTGACTCAGGCTCATGATATAACAACGTACAAAGAAGATGACAAATTCTGTTTGGGAGTTGTCCAATTAAAATTCCTAGTTATGAAAACAAATTAGCACATACTGAAGCATTGTGTGCGATATGTTACACCACACCGCTACAGCAAATGGACAGGAATCCTGTCAGGTAAAAACACAACGCCTGCAACTGTATAGCAGACATATAGGGCCCGTTCACACCAGATGCAGTGCGTTCTGGCCCGATTCTGGCCGGCTCACTTTTCTGTGGGGCAGGAGGGGGCATGGCGGGCCATTGAAGTGAATGGCACCGTAGCCACGCCCTCCGGCTGCAATGAGTTCGGCCGCACGGGAACGCAAGACACATTATGCCTGCCTCTCTCAGAATACAATGACGTGTGTGTGTTGCCCCATCTATACGGTTATTGAGCATGAGGAAAACGAGCGATTTTGTCTTGTTCAGCCCTGCTGCCAGGGTATGACCGGCTTAAATGTCCTGAGGGGATCAGTCACCTTGAGAGAAAGTGATGACATATCCAACATTTTACCAGGACAAGAGTTGAGGGAAAGACTTCATACGAGTACACCAGTTCTGGTGGAGGAGGGTTGTTCCCCTCACTTTGCAGAGGTTTCCTCTCATGTTTTGTGCATCCCCAGGTTGGGATGTAAAGGAAAATTTCCCCAAAGGGTCACGGACTGGAAAAAAAAAACTGCCAGGAGTTTTAACCCTTTCCTGCTCTATCTAAAACTCAAAAAAGGAGCTCTGGCTTTACATACACTTTAAAAGAAAAAAGAAAAAAAAAAATGTAAAACCAGCACAGGAAGCGGGGTGACTAAGGAAAGGACAGGTGGGGAAAAGTCAGCATTTCCCAAAAAAATTGTACAGACATTCCTCATTTACCGACTTACCTGTTTTGCGACCACTCGCACTTACAACCCACCTCGGGCCTTACGTGCGCCGTGGCGGCGGCAGTGACGTCTTGCCGGCGGAAGTGATGTACTCCGTTCTTCACTGCAGGTCTCAGTAAGTATTTTATTGCCTGATGTACAGTACATCTGCAACACTATACAGTACTGTACTGTATAGAGTTCTGTACTTAACGACCAATTTGTTTACCGACCTGGTCGTAGGAACGGAACTCGGTCGTTAAGTGAGGAATACCTTTATTGTGTATTTTTTACCTGGATCTTACTCGCGCTTCCACAATGTTCTGTAAGTAACACTGCAGTGCAGGATGATTACCTTGCAGCACAAAACATCCCACTCTCATCTGGATTCCTGACACGCAAGGTATTAAGGAGTACCTGATACAGATTTTAGCTAGATATACTTTCCATTTTTAGAGCTCGTGTATACCTCATTGCAATGTGCCACAGTCTACGCCAGGCATAGGCAAACTCCATCCCTCCAGCTGTGGTGAAACTACAAATGCCATAAGGTATTGCCATAGGTATGACTCCCAGAGCCAGATGCATGATGGGATTTGTGTTTTCACCACAGCTGGAGTTTTCCTATCCCTGGTCTACACTCCTTTCGTGTGTTCATGCGTGTTGCGGTCTACCGCGTTAAGCAGCCCACTCAAAATGGAGGGTCTGTAACACACTTCAACGCACAAAAAAGTAGGTCTTTGTGTCTTGTGCTGTGTTGCAGTGAAGTGGTTCAACCCTAGGAGCTTTTGAGCAGTTCAAAAAACGCTTTTAACTGCCCAACACAAGAAATCCCATGATTTTCAATGGCCCTGGTTCACACCTGAGGAGAAAACCGCCAGCAGGAAAATGCAAAATGCCCGAAAAGGTACAGGAGCTTCTTTGGGCGGTTAAAAACACTTTTTTCCCCCCCATAGACTTCATTGCAAATGCCCAAAAAACGTGGGGCAGAAGCATGTTGCACATTATCGTGAGCGTTTTTCC